ACTACTACTACTACTACTACTACTACTACTACTACCTATCTTTTGGTTTCGTTCCATCCGGAATACTGATTCGCGAGAATTCCGGGTTGTTGATCGAACTTTGGGTTCGGATCCATAAGGAAAGTTCGCTACCGATCACCGTCCGACCAGTTTGATCCCATCATTCACCCACTCCACCACGTCGCATTCCTCTTAGTTTTTCTTGGCTTTTACTCATGACGGGGGCGAACACTTGGATCAGGCAAGTGATGTTGGTGTGACCGGGTTTGTAATTTTTGTCCACGATCAGTGGGTCTAAACAGAATACGCAACAGAACTAATGTGTGATCAGATACAACACAGGTGTACTGAGCCATGTCAGCGGTAACTTATTGCACTGTGGTTTATTTGGGTCTGCTCAACCGGTCAACGGAGGCATCATGCTGCCGTCCTTGAAGGTGCGAAATTGTTGGTTCTATAAACTGAACCAAATTGATCATTTCTTTAACCACAATAAATTATTTAAACAGTTGTGGTATTCGTTATCTCCATTTTCCCTCACTTCATAGATCCTGTTGTCACCAACAAACCACGTTTCTCTTGATGCAGTTAAAGCTCCTAAATTAATATGGCAAAAGGTTACGCTATTACCTCCTTATTGCTCTCATTCGTTCACTCTTTTTGTATGATGGCGGCTACGTGTTGGTCACAATCTATTTATTCCATTTACTCTATCCTTCTGTTTTGTAAATTTTCCTTCATTCATCTAGGTTATTTGTTACGTCTATTTCACTCGTGTCGTGGCTTACCTAATCACCATCACAGTACCGTATACCCTGACGTGGGTGGTGGAGCTGTTCAAGGAGTCCATCACTTTCCTCTTTTTCGTCGCGGTGGGCTACAAATTTCGACCGGTGGACGACAACCCGTATCTGCTTGTTTCCAATGTGGATGACGACGAAGATACGGTGATGGAACGGATCCAGTTGGAGGATGTGTAAGCTCAGGATTCGATATTTATTTATTGTAGTCACTTGATTTTGTGTCCGGATCATGAAAACGCTGATGTTTAAATACTGTGCAATCAGCTTATGTTGCCATGCTGTTAAAAGCATTTGTTTTGTTTTTTTATTTCAAACTCAAGGTCTGATCATGGGTAGAAGTTGATACCTTACCTGTATACTTATAAAATTATCCCTTTAATATGGCGCAGTCGACTGACATCCTGTCTCTCCACATAAATCACTATTTCGGTCACCGAATGGCGAGTTTCATCCGGGCCCCGCAACGGTCACCAATACCAGTTACTACTACGAGATCTATCAAACTGAACCGGACGATCGTTGTTGACCAATAAGGCATGCGATGCCCGTGTGATTAGAACGTGTCTGCTTGTATGCGCACACAAAGAAGTGTCATAAGTCATCCACTCTTGTCACGCCTGCTATGCATTACTATTGCAACGTTCGTTTCACATCGATGCTACTATCACTAAGTTGAGAAGTCATACACACACACACACCCTGGCAATTCGGTTTCGTCTTTATCCACCTGCAACCAAGCCAAGCTGCACGTTTGCTTTTCCCTTCCCGGTATGTGCGTTACATGTACATGGCCGAGCGTCTATCCTGTTTCCATTGTCCGATCGATATATCGGTCGTCATAAATTTACCTGGTTGATATTCCCAAGGCGCTGGTGATTGTGTATCTTGGTTATATGATCAAATAGGACCCATCGTTCTATTCTGAACATTCACCGACGAACATCAGGAAAGAGGTTAACCAATCCCATTGCGCACCGAAACCCACCGCGTCTCTCAGACCTAGGTGATCTGGTGAATTTCCTAAATAAACATTAGTTACTTCCCAGTTGAAAGTAAATAACTTATGCAAAATTGATCAAGGAGTTTTTCATTTTAGCTATTCTCAGTTTAGGCCACGTGATCTGCAAACAACACAAATGAGCTCATATCGTGCCAAGGAAGTCATGAGACAGTAGGGTGTTTGGACAAATGAATTGAGTGATTGTTCAAAGGGAGGGGTGCTGTACACAATGTTGTATGGTGAAACTTTAGTCGATTGTTCTATTTAGTTTCGCGGTTTTTTAATCTCTGTTATTATGCATTATGTGAAATACAGTGAAAGGGGGAATCCCCATAATCAAAAAGCATTTTGTAAAAGAGAGAGCAAGTAAACATTCACGTAAGATCCGGAGTATTGTAAGAAGGAGCACACAAATTTCTCATAATGTCTCAGCTTTATGAAACATTAACTGTTGAAAATCTGTCCAATGGACGTTTAGGCCGGTACTCGTTTATAGGTAGTCTTACGCGCGGTATTTTCATATCCAGCTGTCTATTCAGCTTCGAACGATGGAGTTGATATTAAGTGATTTCGTCAGTCGTTTGGTACCCTGTTGAAATGGACCCCTTAGTTGTCATCGCCTGCCATTCTTCAAATATCACTCAAATTTAGAGCGAAATGTATGCCACAAATCCATTCCACGCAATTTTTTATCAGCGCCGAATGCTTTATTTCTCACTTTACGTCATGATTGCATTACACACCGTTGTTGGTGGGTTTTTTGTTGCGCAATATTAACGTGAGGTAATACGAATTTACTTCCAATGCAGTTGTACGCTACCGAGTGTGGATAGGCAAACGGTTATTTGAGTATAGGAAGCATCATTTGATGTTTGATCATGAATGAATTATCGTTGTTTCACCAGATAAACGGTTGCACACAACCAGCACCAATATTTAAGCTAAGTGTTTCGTCGAAAGCATCGTAATGTGTTCGAGGCTGTTACCCTACATGTAGTAGCTTACTGTGCATGGTCTGGAATCCTAATGCTAGAATAAAATAGTCGAGTGTTTCTGGGGACGCCACTAAACATTCTCATGGTTTTTCGTGGATTGATCCACAAATTTGACACCATACTTGCAGCGAATTGCTTTTCAGTTATAGAAATGGGCAACTGGAGCCTCGCAGTGGCGAACCAAACAAAACTCCGATAGAATAATTGTTCAACGGATCTTAATAGCATTAAATCTGCCAATCACCTTAACAAATAGACTCTTATTTGACATCGTACTCCGTATGATGTAATCAAAATCACATTATCCGGAAGCGATCAGCACACGGTACTAGTTCTGCTCATTGATTAGTCATCATTTTCTCACATCAGCACACCATTGAATCTCTTTAAGAGTGATAAGGTCACCGAGACTAATGTTCATAGACATTCGTTACTATCATATTTGATCGTGATAATTAGCATTGCGTTTGAAATTGAGATAAGTACCTATTTGCATTCTTGTCACTAACAGCTTTTGTTATCATTTCAAAGTTTTTCTCTTGTACATGAATCATCTTTCGCCGCATTCCACGGCTGTTCACCTTTTTGGAAATTGTCCTCTGCAGCTGGTCCCAATCGGGTTACACGGACGGGGTCACACGACTGAGTCGACCACAACCGAAGGGTAGCGCTTCTACAGGTGGTAGACGTAATCCGGGTTTCGCTGGTCGAGCAGCAGCAGATGCATCCGCCGTCGATCCTGATGCGCCATCCGATGCAGAAGTCTAACGCCAGACTGGAATATTCATCCTTTGTGCTACTTTCAATCTCAGTACATTTGTTCAGTTGTTTATTCGTCCACATTACTCATTCATCCACTCATGACTGCGAAAGAAATGCAAACGCTTCTGTGAACTTTCTCATGACTACTTCTTCTGTTTCGCCACTGAGTACAAACTATTCATCCACTGCTCTTGCTCCAGGGCTGCTGCTCTCCTTTCCCCCTCTCTGTATACGTTTGAGCTCATATACCCCTGGCTTCTATGAACAATTTCCCATTTCTTTCTTCAGTGAAACTCCGTTTCCCGTTTAGACTCTTTTGTGAAAAATGTTTCATTCTCGTCCCTTGTAACGACCATTTCTTTCTACTTACTGAATGTACTGTTTTCATTCTCTGTTAAGGTGGTTGCTCACGAGGTATGTCTTTCACAAACTGATTATTTACAAACGACCCCCTAAGTATTCCAGCTATCTTTGTGACTTTACCTCGTGCGTCTGTTTGTTTGCTATTCCTTGGGATTCTGTTGTCCGATTCATTCGCACGTTGGAGTGTGCTTTCATCGGCCTCATCATTCCTGCTGGACTTTTCAATTCACACCGAAAGACTCCTTTTTTCCTCTACAATGATTCGTACGCCCTTTGACATCTGTTAAAAAACGGATTATTGACTGTGCTACTATTTTTGGCACTTGCTGTTTTTAAAATTGCCGAATACGTCGACCGACAGAGACCTACTTTTGATCCACTGTTTGCTTGTGTCACTGTGTTACATTTTCAACTAATGGGTTAACTACCATCAGGCCTTCAATCGTTCTTTCTTACTGGCTAACTTATGGAACAGATCAATGAATGGCTGCAGCTAACACACATTTAAGGTGATTCGTTCTGTAAGATAGCCGTGCAATATATTCCTCTGCATGACTGAAAAAATGTCAGATAAGGGCAATTTCGTATAGCGTGTTCTAATTATGCGAAACAGTCTCTCTGAAGGATAAACCAGATGAATATCTTTCCCGTTTGATATTTTATTGCTAACTATCTCACAACTTATATGGGATCAAACGTCTGTGATTTAACAGACTCCTTGTTCTTCTGTCCGCCCAACGGAATTTTCATTTAGGTAGGGGTAAAGCATTTTCATTGTCTGATAGGAAATGATAGTGGCATGTGTGTGTAGGCTGTCATTATTGTGCACGTAGTAAGTGATTGAGACTTTAACTCACTTCACTATTGCAGTTTGTTGAACATGTTGCCTGAAGTGCAGGAACTTTATCGATCACCGTCCATGGTCGCGATTGTTAACCCCAACTAATGCACGGTCTAACTGTGCATGAATAGTTTGTGCAATCTTGGAATTTCTTTTGCAATAAATAAATCGGTTTTACTTTTTTCGAGGTTGGGTTTTGTGGAGCACTAACTAGTTCGTTCTTCCCTCACTACGTTCTTCTCTCTGTAAGGATACCGGAAGACTCTGTTTGGGTTTTTGTTGGAATAAGACACATTTGATCTTAACTGAGAAATATAAGAGTGTTTTAGACGCTGGCTGTTTTGATTAAATGCGTTTCACTGTTTATGTGCGATTGCCTAGAGTTGCTCTAGGATTCTGCCGAATCCACTCGATATCATTTAACCTTTCTACGCATGTAGTGACGCGGTCTGCAATACGTTCGATAACTTCTGACCGGGTGGTCACACCTTACGTACCACTAATTCAACGCGAGCGACAGTTCAGACACAATAATGATAGTGTGATTTCGGACACTCCACGTTACTCCCAGTAGACCATTAACGCACGAGCCATCCGTTGATGCAGTCATCTCAAACAAATGATTGACCCTTGCAAGTGCTTGTGACGACATGCGATAATAATCAGCAAGTCAGATTTCTTGGAGTGAGTTAAAAATTATGAGTACGCGGTGCGGAGTGCGTGACTACCCGGTCACAAGTTATAGAATGTTTGCGGAGCAAGAAATCCGCTACCAATACGAGCAGTTGGTGAATGGGATTGCGATAAGTCAATATGCCTCTGGGACTCAGCTGGCCGCTTGTTACAAATAACCTGATCGGCAAGGCTATCAGCTTGACTAAAATCAGGTGTTAGGTTTGTCACCCTGACATTTTGGAGTTATTCTGATCTCTTGAAACTCAATGAACAGCTCGTGGCTTGAAAAATTGTACACTTATCATTTAATCTTGATTGGAGCAGGTGGGTTTTTCGGGGACAACTCAGGTTTGTTCTAGTTCCAACACGAGGGATGTGACAATTACTTGAATACCTTTGTGTGAAAACTAAGATGTCTTGTGCACAGCCATCCCGACCACATCTCTATGGCAGTATTAGGATACATTTTGTATCATAAAAGACAGCATGTTATATTCTATCCTCATGAAGTTTATCAGTAGAAAACGGTCGGAATGGGCCACTTTAATTTCGCGCGTTGATTCAAAAACATGATGGATCTGGTGGAAACAAAATAGAAAGCATGAAATGAAACCTTGGTAGTTCTCACCAGTTGGGCAAATCCCTCGATCCAACCTAAGATCAGAATGCTGACCTCGTGGGCAGAATATATGTTATTACTAAGAAAAGCTAGTAGAGATGCTGCGCAACAGGCTGGGAACGGTAGGTTCTGCTTGAAAGTTTATAGAGAAAATGAAACCGCTCGGTGGTAGCATGGTTGTGCTCTTCCAGAGAGACCTACTATTTGATTCTCGATTGGGTCTGCAGTTTCGTATTGTTGATGAAACCCAACAGAGTCGAAGCACTCATCATATTCTCTGTTTACGACCAAAATCAGGGTAATCAAATTAAATTCACCACCACTTCATTGGATAAGTTGATTATCAATTGTAAAGAGGGATTCGATTTGATAACCGGAATGTGTGCTTGCACATCCGAGTGGTATCGAATGTGGTCACTTACAGAAACAATCGTATTTCACTGACGCCTCATTTGGTATTTGTATCTTACCAATGGGCAATGCTTTGTTCCTTTCTGTATTATACGATGGTTCTGCTGGTATAACATTTTCGACATATGGACATTTAAGAAGATACACATACCGAAATTCGTCGCTGGTGTCGAGTTTGAACGAGTCAAACCCACCAAAACGATTGGAGCTATCGTGATGCTTCTTCTAGGCTGGCTTGTGTCATAGTGACTCCGTGAGATGCAAATGAATTTTACGGTGCTTAATTCACATCAGGAGTACAAGTATAAGAATTACGTACAAACCCCCAACTTCGAAAACAAGCACAGTGTCAACTAGCAGAATTCTGGTTGAGTGAGAATTTAATTCCAACTACACAGTGCTTTCAAAATTGGCGGCGGTGTTCTCCACGGTTATCTTATTTCACTGGTCCCGTTCAATTTCTGCGTAGGATGAATGGGAGGGGGGACGTCCCAAGTGGTTTCGGGAACGTTGGTATTAAATGAACAGCCGGAGAAACGTTATATGATTTGGAACACGTCGGTCACGTCTGCCTACGCAAATTTACGGAAAATGCTCAAAGTTCACTTGGCAGACTAAAATGTTCTACTACTTTGTTCGATATTGGCTTCGCACCTTCCAAGTGCAAATTGGTACCGCAAGACTGGGTGTTGTCTACCTTTGTCCGGGGGCTTCATAATCAGGACTTGAATATAATGGATTGCTTCTCCTACATTAGCATTTAGGTAACCAGAAACACATCCAGGAGTGGACGCAAGATAAACACATTTTCTGTCATTGTAGCCTTTCTTTGGAAAAGAAGCGATGCGTATACTGTGCCACTGTTGGTTTTGCTTTACGATTACGAAATTCTCAGTTTGTGCGCGGAAGACATTCATTGTCCTGAGATCTTCGACTATCAAGGTTTGCTTAGTTTGATGCGGATAGGATGGAGCCCGCAAAATCGTCAGTTGTAAGATTCGAAAGGCATAGCACGGAAGTGAGAACAGTGGTGTTCTTTTTGTCATTTCTCATCAGCTCAGAATGCTTGGCCAGAGGTGTTTGTACAGTGTGCTCTTCGTTTACCTATCGTAGTGCATAGAATTGTTTCACTTTTGAAACAAACCTACTCCCCGTTCATCGCGCATGCTGTTATTCACTTTGCATGCGTTGTTTGTTTTTCAGTGATCACCACTGAGTTTCATTGTGCACAGATGATAATACCAACGCAACAGCGGGGAAAAATAAGAATGGTAACTTGATCAAAAATGATGAGCTGTGAGAAAAAATGGTTCAGAGGCAAAAAAATTATTTTGTGTTAACAACCCATGGTTTTTTAGCGTTTATCACAGTGTAAGGGTTTTAAACAGGTCATACAGTATTATCACCACTGAATACTCGTTCAGGAACATCTCTCGGCTTTTCTCACTAAAGAAAATCCAAAGCGCTCATTCTTTAACCATGATTTCGGGCAGCTAACTTCTGCTTGCCTATACGTTAATCCACAGTCCTACTGCCAACTCATCTCTTGCATCAGGTTGGGAAAATCAGACGATGGGAATGCACATGTAAAACATAACCGAGCTAGAGAATGTGGTAGAAAACGATTTACAATCATAGAGAATAACTTTCAACACATGACGATAGACCTCGTCATCGCTCATGAGATTTTCCCACATGGCTTGAGCAATGTTTCCGTGACATCGCTGGATCAGTACAGAAATTCAGTCAGCATCCCCCAACGCGAAAGTTTCGCATCGGTAACGCGAAGAACTAGGAACTGCGGAGATACACTTATGTTGGTGAAAGCCGTTTATTCTCATCGCGATTTGGTCTAACCCCTTCCAAACACTACCTCCGGTTATTATCAGGTTCTTGAGTTATTTAAAACTTTTGACAATCTCTAGCTGATTACCAGATATGTTTAGTGCAATTAAAGGTAGGTTTCGTACGATTATGTTACATACAGTATAATTCATTGTCCGGAAATATCGATCGCCAGTTGATTTGAAGCGGTTTGAATGATCTGTGTCTTCATTCATCAAGGGAATGTCATCAACATCGTCTAGGTTAAAACTCTGTTTCATGGTAGGAGTTTAACGTCATCTGATGTACAAACAGCATCAAGGTTGATTTTCTAACAAATGAGATCTTCTTGCCTTTAGATTCATACCTCCATTTGAACACTGATGTATACCGCAAGTGTATGGTGTGATGTCAACAAACGCTGGTTGTCTGCACACCGTCACGGATAACTTGCATTTTGTGAGTCTGTGTTCGTTCGGTTCAATCGTTTTAGCCTTCGGTAAAATTGCCTGTTCACCAGAGGATGAAATGATAATTTTGTGCTTTGATAAATACCTTACTGTTTATGAATACTATTTTAAAATCTAGGTCAGCATGACCCCAAACTAGGAATCTACCTCATTTACCTCATGTGATTTAGGGATTTGTTCGTCGAAATCTCAGGCGCGATCCGAGAATCACTGGAAAACCGCAATGACCTGATGCTGTTCTATCACTTGTTGATGGCATTTGATTGGTTCTTTACGCGCGATCGGTATTGACAGTTGGGGAGACGTTTCTCGCTATGAACAGCAATAAACAGTTCATAGGCCTATGTAAGTTGGATGGGTGATCTAAATGTGAAAACATCAGTGCTACCGGGGCGGTCTCATAGCTCGGCTTGTGCGTGCGTGCGCTGTTCAAAAGCGTAGGCGGCGTCTATGCGTGGGTTCGAATGCCACCGAGGTCACTGAACTTTTCAAAATTAGAACACAACTTGGATTTTCTAAAAGAACCCAACTTAAACCAGCAGAAATACAGACAATCTAGTAGTAGGCTATCCGGAATCGCGCTCATCCTCAGTGATGCGCAGTTTTTTTCTTACAATCACCTCTTCTCAGGAATTGAAGAGAAACAAGAGGAAAATAAATTAAAAACCTCTCAGCTGAAGATCCACGATGTGACAAATTGAAAAGATCGGCAGTTTAGGGCAGAATGCGATGAAAATCAAAGCGGATCAACAAGCGGTATGAAGAATCTTCACTGGTCCATATGATACCAATAAAATTGCCAATACACATTGGAATTTCAATGCTTTTGAAAGCTCAGGCAGAGTCGTGATACAACTTTATGAATGAAGAAAAAGAAAGAAACATAAGGCAGAAGACAAAAACAAGGCACTTGAAGCCGTGTTTAATTTTTTTCATACTCTGTAATCTGATTAGCATTACTCGATTGGTATTCTTTTAGAAGTATAAGTGCTATTTAGATTGCCGTCAAGTTGGACTTTGACATATATAAACACTATTTGAGATGTTGTCACACTAAATAAAATATCCTACCACAGGAGTTCACATCAGTTTATGGGTCCCTTGATGGACCAAAACTCAAACACAGTCCTTGATAGGAGACAGATTGTTTCATATAAGAACGAGTTAAAGGATCAACGAATGGAAACAGAAAAATAGTAGTCACTTTCAATTCCACAAATTGTTTGACCCATGCGATTGTGTTTTATGTGTGATCCGCCTCAATCCTGACTGTACAGATTGCCAGGCTGTATGGTGTATACACACATGCGCACATTACTCAATCCTTGTTATACTTATACATAAGGTTTATCGAGAAACGGGAAAGGGGTTGGTTCGGGTCTGGATTTGACCGACGACGATCGGAGCTTAGGTCAAATAGAACAGGGTGGTCATCGGCTGCGTTCGCATACAGACCACACATTTGCTCACCGAATCCGGACTGCTTCGAACTTTGATCACCGTACCCGGAACCATTCCGAACATGTGCTCATCCATCGAGCTGGGCATCACTCGAAGCCAGAAATTCTTGTGTTCCTCGAAGAAACCGCACAGACCTTTGGCTGTACATTCAATAAACATGTGCGATCGGAAGTGTGGAATACAACTGCCGGGTGAGGCTAACTGTTGTCCTCCACCTTGAGCCCCGTATCCTGTGTTCTAAATGGTTAGGCAAGAGATAAAGGAAGCATTGTTTGATCTGAAGACCCATATTTTATCACAGTGAACAGTTCAAAACTATCAATAATTCCGAAAATACCAGATTGTGAGTGGAAGCATAGTTTCCCCGTAACGAATTTGGATAACGAACAATAATAATGAATATTCAAATACTACATTGTCTCACCAGAAACAAATGTGCTCCACTCGATTCAACATAGGAGGGTGTAGACAGGCAACTACGGGCTTTGATCAGAGTGAAAAATGATTCCTTAATTACACAAGATGGATTTTTCTCCCGAATAAATTTTCTCGATAGTTGTAGGTTGCGGCTATCTAATAGTTGGTTAGGGAATCGGACGTCGAAAGCAAAGTGACGGATATTCGTCCCCGTTAGCCGAGTCGGATGTGGCTCCTAGGATGACTAAAATTCTCAAATGTTGAAAAGTTATCTATTGAGTTCCTTCTTGACATTCGAATATTCTTCAATGGGCCATTATTTTACAGTTCTAGGCATCAGATACAAATCTATTTATAAGCATGGTAATGAGGGCAAGTAATGTTCTTCATGAAAAGCTATTCATTCCAGGATTTTAGTGTAAGCATGGAGACTGTTTGCGGTTAATATTACTTACTCTGCTTTCAAAAGACATGTGGATAGTTTAAAGAGGAACTAAGGAACTATGTGTATAACTCGTCTAGTGAGCAGAGTTTCAAGCGGTTAGCGTGAGGAACCGTCCAGGTTTGACTCAACCGTTAAATAGTTTTCGGTATATAGGAATTCGTAACAAAACGGTGTTCCTTACATGCGAAATAAATGCTTGTGATTGTTCATTGAGACAAGGTGACAAGGAGTAAGCAACGCGATATCACCTCCAGACAGTCAACCTGGAGACAGAATCCAACCAACATGGTGAGCCGAAGCATATGACATTTGATTGACTGAATGCTAGAACGCTAATAAATGGACCATACCAACACCCTTTGGACAGTAAACTGAGACTGACCCTTGTAATATCTATTTTCTTGCTTTTCTAAATAGAATGAACTGTGAGTTTTTAATCGGTGTCCGAGTTCATCCTATTCAGAACTTGTTAATATTTCAATTACTACAATAATAAATCACTTTCAAATCTAGACCTGCTATACATACAGAGTATTTCGTCATGGTTGAAAAAAAAACGCAAACCAGCATTGAACGTACCATGAGGAAACTGCTTCCTGGCCACAGCGTAGACCAACCGTCGGGACATTTTGGAATCTCCAGCGTTTGTGCGTGGAAAGCATACAGCTTTTAAATGAAACACAAGGGAAGAGAAACTAATTGGCAATGCTATGCGGAAGTCTTGAAGTTCGTGCATGCAGATCTCACGATCATCGGCCAATATCCTGGCAGTTTTGATCGAAGCGCGCACATAAGTATCTGAATCGCTTCAAGTTTTCACTTTCACTTTCGATGATTAGTTACTCCATGTGAAGTGTTAATTTAGGTGAGTCAACGAAGGAAGGATTTTCTTTTCTAGCCTAGTCGCTTTGCTAATATCCCATTTTAGGCTGGGAAGAACAATACTAATTATGAAAAAAGCTCCGAACCAGTACTTGACATCTATTACTAAGTGACTTAGTTCAATGGTAGCTAATTTTATCAATATAATAATAATAAAACCAAAGCTCGTTTGACGATACCTTGCTTGGTGCTTCACAGACAACACATCGGCTGATGTGTCGTTGTGTTTCGTTTGCTGGCACGGGGTTCCACATCATCGGTTCCTCCTCGGTGCTTAGCCAGTAGCTTCGATCGTTCCGTTGCGCATAGTAACAGTTCTCCTGTTTTTCACAAAACATGAATGGAATCGGATTGAACAATTGCAAACACGATCCGGGGCTGGCCAAATCATTCACATGAGCCCGTTCTGACCCAGTCATGCTGAGGAATGAATATCCTTCCCACAATTTGCGTGTCGATGAAGGGCACGATGGAATTCGTGTGGTCTGACTGTGGCTGTATTGATTAGATTGTGGGATAAAATGGATTCATGAAAGCATAACGGGGATTGATAGTTATGAATCTTTTGTACAGAATGTTATTGTAATGAATGTTTGAGAGAACGCACAGTGATGATGCCTTAGATTAACGGTTTCCAAAATACGTCCACATAAGTTGGTTACATGCTTTTGCATTGATAATTAATGAGATAGAAAAGTATTTTGTTTTTGTGTTGCCAATTATTGAGGGATGGTGCCTAAAGGTACTCTGTGATCAAACATGTGCTCCCATGGACCCCACACATCCCGAGCGCTCTCGATGATTGGATTATTGAACAAAACCATTTGAGAATTTCGAATCCCAAATCAGATCCTAAGACCAAATCCACCTCCTCACATTTCTCGATCTTTATGATGCATTGAAAACATGCTCATAAATCAATAAAATCCAAGTGTAAAACGAAACTTTTATAGCACTCTTGCTAGATCAAAGCAAATACATGAAGAATGATATCAACTTACACGGTGAAAAGATGACCGGTGTTTCCACGGGTTTCTCCAATACCGCCTTCAACTCCTGGTTCACCTTGTGGACCAGCATCGCCTTTAGGTCCTTCTGGTCCAGCATACCCTTTCTCACCCGGTTGTCCAGGATAGCCTTTTGGTCCTGGCAATGCCGGTTCACCCATATCACCTGGTTCACCTCGTGGTCCCTGTTGACCAGGTGCTCCTTCATAACCTGGACGACCAGTCTGTCCGGGCTCGCCGGGAGGTCCAGCAAAACCTTTGTCTCCTTTCTCACCCGGTTGCGCAATTGCACTGTCGCCTTTTGGACCCATGATACCAGGTGCACCCTGTTCTCCTTTCAATCCAGGGAAACCCTTAGGACCCATTGGACCTTGTTCTCCCGTTTGACCTTTCATACCTGGAGATCCGGGTCGTCCAGGCAAACCTTTCGGTCCGGTTGAACCCCTTTCGCCCGGAATTCCAGCATTACCCTTTTGTGATTTGGGACGGAAAAAAGTGTTCGAGAAGTGCATCACTCACAGACTTTAGTAGATTTTATAAAGTTTTACTGCTTACATAAAGTTTGCGGACAGGTGACTGAGGAATCGTGTGAACTTCTCATCTGATGGATAGTGACAGTTTTTTGCTTGGGTGTATACACGAAAAATTACCTTATATACGAAGGTGACATACTCTTTTTCACACATTTCTAATTCTTCTTGCAAGTGAATTAACCACTTGTGCACAGAATGTGTGACTACAATCTCAGGTGATATTCTCGATATCCTATATTTCCGTCTGACCGGTTCAGATGTTCGATGTGATAATCTTGTGTAAGCAGTAAATTATCCAATGACCCTGTGAACGGTTCATTCGATGTATTCAGGAAGTGACGCGTTTCAATTGGATGTTGACGCAGAGTTTGTGGACTGTAAAATGTGGACAAGGTAGTTTCCCCTGCTTTGCATGATATTTCACCGAAAATGGTTTGACAGTTTGTTCCCCCCCCCCCAGGAAGTATAAATTATCCATTAACATTCCTATTGATTCCTTTGATGGAGAACCACTTTGAGTCGGATGGCGAGTTCACCGTCATAAATGATGCTTTATGAATGTTTTCAAGATTTATCAACCATTATTTGTAAAAACCAGGATGTATCATTGCAAACAGCTCCACACAAAATGTTATAGACTCCATAGGCTGGTACGCTCATAGCGGTACCCAGGGTTCTCTTTAAAATATTCAATCAGTATAACTTTGAATATAATTCCGAGGAAAATATGATCAATGGTATAGTAAATGGATATCCTAACTTTCAAACACTGTTTTTCTTCATTTTCATAGCTTTGAATAAGGTATTTACATGTGAACCGTATTCAAACAAATGCATACCTTCGGACCCATGGGACCGGACATTCCCTTCGGACCACGTTCACCCTTGTATCCAGGTGGACCATCACGTCCAGGCATGCCTTTCAGTCCTGGTCGATCTGGATAGGCTCCCTTCATTCCCTTTTCGCCTTTCGGTCCAGGGATTCCTGGTCGTCCAGGTGGGCCGGCAGAACCTTTCGGACCCGGTGGGCCGCTCACTTCTGGTCCTTGCTCACCCGGAGGACCTGGTGGGCCACGCAATCCAGGTTCACCTGCCACACCCTTCTGTCCTTTCGGTCCCATAGGGCCGACCGGACCACGTTCACCTTTGGCACCCATCGGTGACTGAACAGATTGACCCCGGTCTCCTGTCTCACCTCGATCTCCACTTGGTCCTAGATAATGATAAAATGACAACCAGCAAAATAACATCAGTTTTTCCAATCCGAGTGGCTACCTATCACCGAGCGGACGCACAGGGAAGTGTTGGCAAGAATACAGAAGGCTCCAGCATTCACATCTTCCATCTATTACTTAATTGTTTCAGGTAACCAAAGGACAGTAACCAAAATCAAAGCACAATAGGGCATTGTTGATGGTCGCATAATATAAATCTGAACCTATTTCTCACCATCAACCACAAAAATTGTACAGTGCGGATTGGTGAATGGCACACTTAAAGTAAACTTCCATTGAAATTGTAGAGTGAATCGTTTGTCTACAGTACATATAACGGATTGTCATAATGCATTTTCCATAAGTTCTCTATCACCCGTAAAAAAATTAGAAAATAACTTTTTCTCACGGACGTTTGTTCCAGTTTCAAGTGGTGAAATAGTTCTAAAACTAATTGAACATTAATGACAAGTTAATCCGAGCGTGTTTAAAACTGTGAAGTAAATGAGGGATAATTTGGTTCATTAGTCGGTGACGAATTTCTAATTAGACAAAAATGTTTTTCGGTTTTCATTTTTACTTGGGATCGAGATTTTCTTGTATGGAACAACCAAAACGAAGCCGAAAGCGCCAAAAGTACAAGGGTGACAACTTTGCTGCTCATCGCCGACAATGCGAATACGCAGAGCCAATTAGGATCAAACCCGGAAGCTTCAAAAGAGACACGCAAGCCTGTTTACTACTCGACTTTCGAGCACCTCATCAGCTTGCTTTCGTCTACTGGTCGTTGCACAATGTTCAGTGGTAATATTTTCGTGAAAAACCGAACAAGGTTGATTTTTTGCTGTCCTTCAGATTTTGGTAACAACTCAGAAACATGTTGGTTTCGTGTGATTTTGCGACGCAGGATATGTGATGACGAGTTTTGTTTTATTGTAATTCCTAGGTGACTCACGCACTTTACGCTGGTGTGTACGATATATTTTGTACTTACTGAGCTCAAAATTTGTAAAAGAATACGCATTACTTTGTAGAGATTCCTTTACCTGATTCCCAAGCACTTAATTCGATCCCCTTCATCTGTTTGTCCAAATCCTCCAGTGGAGATCGGAACAACTTACTGGTCTCGGGAACTAGGGCTCACCTGTCTATTTTCCCTAACCTATCCCGTTAGTCTTGCCAACCACATTTCCTGATTGAAGATTTAAATACTCATCATCCTGACTGTAACGAACAAAATCATATATCGGAACTGTTTTATTACCTGGAATATGGAATTATTCAACGTGTATGGGGTTGGAAATTGCGTTGCCATTTTATTAAAGCATTTATCGATGTGAAATCTATGGGTTTTGTAAATATTGAAGTATGGACTCATGAACATTTGTGTCTATCGGATTTTTAAATGTTTAATAAACAGTAGCTTGGATAGTTTTATATTTTCCTCATCAATTACCGATGATAGCTGAGCGAAAATTTCTAATATTTCATAAAATTTTCCAAATAAGGAGAAATAGTAGTATATTTTGTAGAAAACTTAATAAACACTGAAGCTTGCTCAAAATAAATACTAGTATTTGGGATTCGTTTGGTGGAGAAGATGATCTGGGTAGTTACTTTACATCATCATCATCAGTAGCAGCAACATCATCATCAGCACCATCAAATGAAAGTCTTTCGTTTGACCGCTCCCTCCTTCTTGACTTTCTATGTACAATTTTTCCCTCAATGAGCCCATCATATTGTAATCAGAATACCAATTGTACCCGAACATGTGTTTTTAGTGATCTGTTGCTAAAGCTACAACAGTCACATTTACATAGGAATAAACTACCAAGTGAAGTTGAACAATGTCTCTTGCAGTCGGTTCGATTAGTGTAACGCGGTGGGGGGGGGGAGATGCATTAGACGACCTCACCAGAAAACAATCGGGTGTCTGACAGAACGGTGCAGTGCCGAGGCAAGCCATCTATTGCCATCACACAATTGAGTCTTCCACTCCATTGTTTCTCGGTGAAGTCTACTCAAGCATCCCCCCCTACCGCGTTGCACTTTTCTAATTAAATAGGACAGTAATACATACGTATGCTCAATTTTTAACAACAGGTGTATGATCATGCCCAGCTCATTGTGCTACAAATTACTTAGATACAAAACAAGTGGTCGTCACATCATATTGCGTCCTCAGTTTTAGCTCACCTTCTGGGCCTTGGAATCCTTTCGGTCCCAAAACTCCCTTCATTCCTTTAACTCCGCTTGGTCCCGGTGGTCCACGAGGCCCTTCTGGTCCGCGTTGGCCCTTAATACCGTTTGGTCCCATGGGGCCCGGTTCGCCTGGTCGTCCAGGAACACCAGGAGACCCTATGCCTCCAGTCTCACCCTTTTGTCCAAGAGCACCCTTCGGACCGGGAGGACCTTGAGGTCCCGGTTCACCTCGCTCACCTTTGGGTCCCATCTCGGGGACGCGATCACTGGTCCCTGGCAAACCTTGTTCACCCTTTTCTCCCTAAACCAAACAGAATCCAGCAGTTGCATTCGATCACATGAATCAATATGTTACCAAAAGAAAATTTAATGGTGTTAATTAATTCACTAGATATACTAGATTGTCCTGTGAAGACAACAAACATTTTTCGAGGTTATAAACAACAATCTGTGATAAAAAATGCATCACTTGAAGAATACACATATGTTAGTCGTCAAGCTTTCTTGGAGCTGTTCTCTCACCTTTATATTGTGTTTATATCAGTAAGGATGTCATTCAGATATTGTTTAATATCTGTTTTATTTGAAAATAAATCTATTCTTGCACGGTAAAAATAAGTAAACGCAGGGGTCAGTACATGCATCCTCTAGTTCATTTGTGAAGTGAATTCTCTGAGATTAAACACAACTTGTCTTCTCTCTCTGTGCTGTAATTCGAATTAGTTGAAGTGAACTGCTTCATTCCAAAGCTGTCATCCAAGCGTATTCCTAAAATTTTGCATATTTATTCCCAAATGACGAATATTATTAACGAAAACAAGGGTATTACAGAACAAATATTAGATTTTATCTCACCGTAGGACCGGGCAATCCAGTTGGTCCTCGTGGCCCGGGTTCCCCGGGTTCACCAGCCACTCCATTACGTCCAGGTCGACCAAACGATCCAGGAAGACCAGGTTCACCCTTCTCGCCGAGTGGACCAGGCAGACCAGGATCACCGCGCTCACCGACTGGACCGTCCAGACCGGGTTTACCCTTTTCACCGGGTGGAGAAGCTTGTCCCTTCACACCCTTCTCTCCTTTGGCACCTTTGTGACCGACACCTGGTATTCCGGGCAAACCTTTAGGACCAGGTAGACCATCGTCACCTGGCACACCAGGTTGACCTTTGACACCTGAGTTGGACAAACGGTGGAAATTATTGAAATGGAGGAAAACAATTGGCGTGGACAGAATTAGTTTAGTTCACTCAAGTGGAAGCTACGCACACCTAAGCAGATAAGGCGAGAAAGCCAAATAGAACCTTTCATTCTGGCTATTTGTTTCATTGCAGTTTTCATCACAATAACAACTGATGGAAAGTGAACATTTGTTTTCGAAAACTCAGCTATGCTTTTACAGATCAACTGTAAATTAGTAAGTCATTGACTAGTTTAATGGTTGAATGGAGGGTTGAATGTTTGTTTAAGATTGCATTTGGGTTGAGGGAACCCCCATCACAATACTAGGGGAGGGGTTTATGGAGTCAAATCAACCCAATTGCCATCCTAGATTGACTTTCTCCAGCTCACGCGTTAGTCAAGCGGCCGTTAATCTTGTCAAGTGCTCAAAACTCGGCATCGATGTGCCATGTAGATGATCTGGAACGGCATTATTCGAAATGAGGAAAATATTCGTTTTCCACCGTTAATTTCAATTCAGTTGGATGCCATTGTGACCGTCTACAAATAGCGATTTTCAAAGGTGATCTGTTGACCATAATAAACTGAGTGGATGTTATGAAAACGATTTATCCAGAGCACACTGACGTACAAAATAATGCACATAACTTGATGAGCTGGATTCCGAACAAATTGTGAAAGAAGAAGTATGAGAAAATTGTAATTGTGATAGGCAGCTATTTATTTTAATTGACCACTGTTGTAAGAGCGCTGCATTTTACATTATAATGTCACAACAACTTATCAGTCGCTTACCTTTTGGCCCTGGAAGACCCTTTGCACCCTTGATACCGGTGCCATCTTTTCCAGGTTGACCAGGGAAACCTTTCGGACCGGCAGCACCAGGAAGACCTGGTAATCCTTTCGGTCCTGGAGCGCCTCGAGGACCATCATCACCAGAAGGACCACGCGGGCCTTCCAATCCATCATCACCTTTTGGTCCCATCATTCCTTTAGGACCTGGCAATCCTGGGCTACCGGCATCTCCGCGTTCACCTTTATTCCCATGCGCTCCGGGTCGACCTGGAGGTCCGATCAAACCAGGTTTACCTTGAGGTCCAGGGACACCGGTTGGACCCTCTGGACCCATTGGACCAGGTGGACCCTGAGAACCCTTGAGTTCTGCACCGGGAACCACGTTCGCACCTGGTTCACCTTTAGCTCCGTCTGGACCGGGGATACCCGGATCACCTCGCATTCCCTTCTCACCCTTTCGGCCTTGTAAGATTTCACCCGGTTCGCCGGGATCACCTTTTGGCCCACGATCTCCCATTTCTCCCTTAGGGCCGGTGATTCCGGGTATGCCTGCTGGTCCTTGCTCACCTTTTTCTCCCAAACGACCTGGAAGACCCTTCGGACCCATGGATCCCGGAAGACCAGGGTCTCCAGGTTCACCCGCATGTCCTTTACCTGAACTTCCCGGAATACCAGGACGACCGCGTTCACCCATATCACCCGGCAGGCCAGGATAGCCCTTCATACCGTCTGGTCCAGGAGAACCTTTGCGACCCATAGTTCCGGGTGGTCCAGGTCGACCCTTTAGACCCTTCGGTCCTGGAAGTCCTTTGTCTCCGATTTCACCAGCTGGTCCAGCAGGACCTGGCATCCCTGGTTTCCCTTGCTTGCCAGGAATACCAGCCAAACCTTTCTCACCCTCGCGACCTGAGAAAAGTATGCGGAGGAGGACGAGGAAGGAACCGATTGAACGTAACGAATTAGATAATCCTCTAAAAAGTAATCGTTGATTAAAAAAAGGTGACGAAGAACCATCTGATGTAAAGTGACCCAATTCTGGATTAGTATGAAAGCTAAGAACAATTGCAAAAGCCTACCAAAGTTCTACATAGGCGTTTAATCCATGCTCTATATTTCGTAGTATTGACGTGAAACCAATCGTTAAATCCAACTAAAGTAACCTGGTAGTCACATGTGGGACGTACTACACTACACGTCCAGTTTCGAGCCCACATAAACTCAATGGAGAAACCATGATGATGATTCTTAACAGGAATGTAACATCGGTGCCCTTAAGGTTTTTCATTGATATTTGTAACACAATCACGTTGCATAATGAATCGTCCTCTATCTATGCAATTCACCCGAACCCATATGAATATATCTATGGTCTAGTCAGTATAATATATGATATCGATTCAGCAATTTCGTCCAATTACTTCTTCATTTTTTGCTATTTTCAACATAGCAACATCTTGCACACTAGCCACAAAAGGATGGACGCAACGATTGATGGTTACCGAAGACTGTAATAGATATCGCTGATAGACTGTCACATTTTGAGCGTGTATTGTTTAAAAATAATCCTATTTCCGAAGTGTAGGTGTTTGAGTTTGCTTACGAATTTATTCATTTGCTTACAAGTCGATGGAGGATGAAACTCATTATTAAAGTAGAAACTCTCGAGATAGCTCATGGTGAAACACGATATATGTACATTACCTTGTTCTCCGGGGAATCCAGAAAGTCCTTTTTCACCGGGCAATCCTTTTGGACCGCGTTCACCCTTGATGTATTCAAAAATTTGATCCACCACGTTGTCCATGCCTGAGTTGCACATTGTCAGTGATATTGCAATGGAAAATTTCGAAATGCGGAAAGGTTGTGCGGATAAGGAAATTTTGTGGCATTGCTAAGTGATTATTTATACGTAGTGACAAGAAGACTGTAATTAATTGCCACAAATGAAAAACAACTACATTTGAATAAAAACGTTTCAAAATTATTGAAATGCCTTCATAGGGTCAACCGTTGGATACTCACTTTATTTAACTTAAGAGAATGCTGTGTTTGGTGTAGAACGACACAAAGTAGGTTGTGCTGAAGCTCTAAAGATGATCTAGAGTAATACCAATGTTAAATTAAAATCCTACGCCGTCCAACCAGGCAGGATGTAAGCCTACAACAAGCCCAAAATCTGCCAGTTTCAATGTTTGGTATGTCCAGTTCTAAACCACAAAACGTTGGTGGCAATTACAATGTATGACACGCCACAGAAAGAATGAGGTAATGAGTTTGATGACGCATCCCTAGTGGTGTTTACCAGAGCTTCTGCGAGTGAGTACGATAGGTAGATTTCCAGGTCAGTGAAGGTAGTAAAAGTTGTTTAATTGCTTTCGTATTTTGAAACTTGGACATTCTGTGATGACTGGCGGATTTGGAACCATTTCACAAAATCCTTTTCACACATTGTCAGTCAGTGGAATAACCACTGTAAAATGTTGTAGAAAGTTATGCCCTAGTATGAAAACTTCTAAGATAGAATTGTCGAAATTAACTGAAGTTGAAATCAGATAATATCGGAATCTACCCCACTGCCTTTGGTCCAAAAATGGTGGGAAATTTATTCAAATTGGGCCTAAATGAGTGCGATTCGAAATTGTTCTGGCCGTGATTTGTAAGATATTCAAGTTATTTTACTTCTTACGCAATAAATGTTCTAGATATATAAATATAATTACAGTTTCAGGAAAGAGTTTTGCTGCCGGTGAAAACAAAGAGAAACGATACTAGTGTAACTCAAACATGTTACCTACTCAAGCTTACTCCGATGACATCTGGAAATACTTAAGCAACGCATGATACCCAGACGGAATTCGCTATACTTTTTAGGTCAAAAATGTAATGAATTCGCCACAAGTTCAAAGCATTAGGTTGCCATCTTCACCATACAAAGCAGTGGAATAATGCGCATCGCTTGTCACCTGTCCACATGCTCACATGCTATCGTACTGGGACGAGTTTCGGCCCTACTAATTTCGTCGCCTAACTTCTAGTGCTTAGAACTAGACACACGGAGGAATTTGGGTTGTGGTAATCAGTTTGCAGACTATCATGTGTTACTTCAGGATTCGCTCCATCAGATCGACTGAACTCAGTGAACCTGTTGAAACTGATCGCTGGTTGTTGGTTCTAACCGTTGTTTGATAGCAGAAGAAGAATTATCGAAATGCGAAATTAAACATACATTTCGGTCAATTAGTGAACGGGTTTTAGTTTTAGTTTAACGGTTGGATTTATACTTTAGTACAACCCACGAAAGGAAACTCTCCTTTTCACTGCACAGTTACATGGCCCAAACTAATGGAATAGTTAAGATGAAGACTGTATTGCAAATTGCAGTTTTCAAATTTGAACTAGTGAGTTTTTTCATTCGGACGGGAGCACTCTGTATGTCTTTGGTTTGCATCTGTATCTTTCATGGCACATTTTAATCCGCATTGTGTTCACGTGTGCAACTCACCTGGCAGTCCAGGTTCGCCCTTTTCACCAGGGAGACCATCACGACCAGGCGCGCCAGGTGCACCTTTGCGTGCTCGGAACACTTGACCAGGTGGACCGGGTTCACCACGTCTGCCCGGAGTTCCAGCAGTCCCACTGAAACCAGGCAGTCCCATTGGACCAGGTTCACCCTAGTAGCAGCAACCATCAGTGAAATAATAACACAAACAGGTTGGTTTGAAGAAAATGGTTATTAAAACCTATTGACTTAGTGGTTAGTATTTGGATAAAATCTGCCTAAATGATCAGTTCAATCACAGAGACGGATTAGAAATTGTCATGAAAATTTTTCACTTATATTCACGACATGTTCCAGAAAAATGAAAATCTTATCAGGGTACTACCGACGTAAATGCCACCGTTGTGGTGGGATTATTTAATACTGAATTTAAATTGTTGACAGGATTGACGGATGCAGTCAGATGATCGAACTAAGATAGAGTGGTCAATGTTGTGGCTCGATGAAGCATAAAAACATCTGACTGTGCAACACATGAATGAACGTCGTTTTCAATTATTTTTTTATCATTTCATTTGTACTATCATCGGAATTCAGTGGATAAAGATACTGCACCGGATCCAGTAAGCTTCAGCTTTGTAAGTTACCCATTGGTTATCGTTTGCAAATTCATATTAAAGCCATCACTGACGTTGGATTTTACACCGACATGGACAGTTAGTTACGTATTGTAAGGATGGAGTCAGTCGTACTAATGATGTGATGTCTGAGTAACTTTCTACACTATTTTGACTTTATATTAGCTCTCCTTGTCCAGAGGAATAATCTTTCGCTGACAAATGATCCCTCATTTAAAATCTCGTACACTTGAACATTTTTCGCTTAATCCAACAGTCGTATAACAAATGTGGCTTCCATATATACTCAATCAAGTGCTGAAGCATTGGCTAAGGAGAGCCGAATTCCGGTTTCACATTCCTCTTCGGGGCGCATAATTCAAGTCTGAAGTAACTAAGGAAGCGGGAATGATCAACATAAAAACACTCACTTTGGGTCCCATTGGTCCTGTCTGTCCTTTTGGTCCAGGGAAGCCTTTCGGTCCGGGTTCTCCGGCAATACCTGCACGACCGGGAACGCCANTATCACCACGTGGGGCTTCTGGGACTGTGGCATTCACAAACTCGATTGGACCGGGGTCACCTTTCTCGCCACGTGGACCATCTGTTCCGCGTTCACCTTTTTCGCCCTGGAAAAACAAGTAACCAGTTCAAATGGGAGTGGGTGTGTACGCGCGAACGTTTGAGTCTGTGGGTTGGCTTGACTTTTAGAATTCGGATGAGTGATTTCAATGGACAATGCATTCCTGTGTGTGTATTTATGTGCATGAACCTCTGGGTGGTGCACTTAACTCTTCCTCTGGATGGACCATCGTAATACGAGGATTGGCACAACACTTTCACATTATACTCCTCCGCTTAGTGGCTCGAATCACCAAGATCTGGCTTTCATAAATTACCGCATTATTTTCGATAACCCACTCAGTACCAAGTGCACTGAATTCTCATAGGGTGCTATCGCGATGCGTTTGAAAGCAATGAATCAAAAGTTGTCGAACAAAAGAAAAAATGGTAATCATTTTGCCCTCGGTTTGATAATCCGGATTCCCTTATGAATATCTTACATCGGGTGCGCCGAGTATAAATTGGCTTCTCCTTTCTTTAATGATTTGGTAGCTTGCGCTAACTAACCTTTGACTGCCCGGTATCAATTGGGAATCAAGGAAATTGTTTTGAAAAATAAATAAATAACGAAAATAACCTAGTCCCTTTGTCTAAATGAACACTGTACGTGTATTTGGATGAAGTGATGATGAGGTAATCTAACACTGCGTTTTGGCTTTGATTGACTGTCACCATCAATGCTCCAAGAACGTTCAGAGCTTCAGGTTATTGAAACAATATCAGATTATGCATCTGGTATAGATGATCTGGGTTATAATAATTGAGTGAATAAATCCGATACACTCATTAGAAATCAGAGATGTGGTAAACAAGCTTTGCTTCAGTGCTTTATGTACCGGCCAATTACAGCACATTATATAACTCAGGGAAATAGTAGAGGGAGACAGTCAAATCAAGGTTTTAGTGTGTGTAAAATGGACGTTCAGAGGTTGGGAGGGAGATGTTTTAACACTGATTGCATAATTGGTGATACTCCCTTGCGGAGTGTGAATATTCAACTGAAATGTTAGGTGGGGGCACTTCGGACACACGGCCATGGAAGGGAAAGGGATTTAACGAATAATTAATAATAATTGTCTGCTCTGGCACGCTGGCGACTGTTTGATTTCGTCAGCACTTAACTGATGATGCTCGCTTTAAATTCGGTGGAACATTTGGTCACCGCATCGGTATTTCATCTCCAATCATGTGTACAGGGTCATTTAAAAGTGTTAGTACATCGATCCTTCTGATTGATCACAGGATCAATGGCGTTTTATCCACTAGAATGAAATCCATCTTTAATACCGCTCAGCTGCGATATGGGTTCTCTACGTCATCAAATGTCCGATGCCACAAAAAAACTAAGCTGCCTATGCTGACCTCATCTATGACTGACTATCAGTTCGAGTGAACCTGTGGTGCAACTTATGTAGGTCGAACTACAAGACGGTTCTGTCAACATATCAAACAACACAATCCACCCTGCCTCACACAAGATGGGAGTGGATCGCGTTGTAGAAGTGGGACACTTGGTTAAAATGCGTTCGGCATTTACAATCATTTACCGAGTCTAACCACACCCCTAGCAATGTAGCTACCGCGGGAGGGGAGGAGGGGGTGGATTAGCATCCGACGCATGAACCCTGAACAATGAAAATTGATCAAAGCTCTCCAACTTCCCCAGCCAAAGGAAGAGAAAATCGGTTGTTCACATGACTAGGACGTAACACAGTACAATTTGGTTACGTAATCCAAAAAGCGAACCAATTTGGATTTTTCTTTGGCCCATTACCACGCTCATGACTCATCTACTTTTCTGTTTAACCCCACTGAAACTGTTTCATCTAAATGTGATTGTAGAGGCTTGAAGATGAATTCATCGAGAATATATGTTTGCCTACATCGTGTTCTTAATCAATGGGTATATTTCATGATTTGATCACATAAGTTATAGTTCAATGGGAGGCATTAGAAACAGTACGACGGTGGTGTTAGGCAAGTTGGGAGGTTTTAATTCACCGAAGCCTAGCATAACCCAAACACGGTAATGCAGGGTGATGTGAGGACTACATCTGTTACTATGTGAATTAAGTTAATCGAGGAAGAAAGACAAGTAAAAAAGAATAATTCCTGAGCACATTATTTCTGTCGTGGAACCTACTCGTATTCCTGATGGACCTGGCTGTCCATCACGACCTTGGGCACCAACAAGACCTTTTTGTCCAGGAGATCCGTCCATTCCAGGAAGTCCCGCTGGACCAGGTGGTCCACGGAATCCTTTTGGCCCGGGTATTCCAGGTCGGCCATCTGGACATACAGTACAGTCACCTTTTGGACCAACTGGTCCAGGATCACCCTCACGACCTCGCAAACCGGAAATGCCAGGTTTGCCTTTCACTCCTTTCGGTCCTGGTGGTCCATCTACTTGCGGTCCGCGTTCACCAGGATCACCAACCGGTCCAGGCACACCAGCTCGACCTCGATCGCCTAATGATCCAAGGTGTAATCAGATAAAACTTTAGAGGGCGCCTTCGTAGGGAATGAAATCATGGCGACAAATATAAATTACTATTAATATAGCCACCCAGTAACACACCGCAGTCACGTCTACCTTGTTATACAGATAAATTGTTTTAATTGAATATAACTTGATCGTTTTGTAAAATAAATGATTACACATGATTTTATTGAGGTTACTTCAACTTTGTCCCTCAATGCTTGTTAATGAATCATTCAAATATGACGCTATTTATACAAAGAAATAATTTCATATTTCTGGAATAGCAACCACAGATGTAATAAGTAAGTCTCATGTCTTACCTGGTTCACCCATTGGTCCCGGAAAGCCGGGAGCTCCTTTTTCACCCTTGGCTCCGACTGCTTCCCGTCCCGGAAAACCTTTTTCACCCTTACGTCCTGGTGTTCCAGGCTGTCCGGGTTTGCCGCGCTTACCGTCCAAACCGGATAGACCTGTGCAGAAATAACCGGTCAGCTTTTAAGTATGTGAAAGAAACCCTAGGTATTTAGAATACGGTGCAATGGTGAGCGGCGACGGATGAAATCGATTTATGTCTGTGTCATGAATACAGGATTTAAGAAACGCGAAACCAGTTTCCAGTTCATTCACCTGTTCCGCGTGTCTGAGGTAATAATCTCAACCAATATTGCCATTTCTAATATTTCATTTTAATGATTATATTCTGGTGATGACTAGACAACACAAGTGAATGAACTGGAACCAGGACGTGTTATGCAGCACTGCATTTCTGAATATTGATCACTCAGGCGTACCTCCTCGGCTTTAACAGTTGCCAGTCGGATGACACCCGTTCCACATGACGCTCTGGATGGTCAGTTTGAAAGTATAAATAGCTGCTTTCAAACAGTTTTCATTCACACTGTATCTTAATAGAGTAAAAGTATATACATCACTTACTTACAGAAGAGACCACCACCACGAACAGTCGCTCGAGCTGCAACCATGAAGTCTCACGCCCAAAATTATTTCATGTAATACGTGAACATAATGGCTTGTGTCTTCAGATCGCTGTTTTGAAAGTGCTTCTTCAAAAATAAACAATATAAATTTCATTGATAATTCTGAGCGAGTTACATTTTTCAAGCTTTTCAGATGTATTGAGGAAATTAGCTTGTCTTAGCCACTTCGAATGAAAACCAAAATACAAAAGCGTTGGTTTTCATTCCTCGTGGCTAAGACAAGCTAATTTGCTCAACAATCATGAGCACGACGCCCAAGTTTTTCAGTGAGATCCGTTCCATCCGTGGATCTCGTTTTGTTACTTTTCATATGTATTATTGTGAGCTTTAGCCCAGAATTAATTGTGTGAAAAACAGCCTAATCAATGAGGGAAAATTTAAAGATGGAGGTTAATCAAGAGAATTTAATCATAAAAACTTTACCTTTTTCTCCTTTTCTCCCTGGTTCTCCAACAATCACATCACCGTGACCAGGTCCCCGTTGACCTTTCGGACCAGGTTCACCTCGCGGACCCGGTTCGCCGGGGAAACCTTTTGGCCCGAACTGACCTGCAGCAGGAGAAAAATGATCATGAAAATATGATTAAAACGATTATTTGACCGGTTTTATTGCTATCATCCATATTCTTCTGATAATTTTCTCCAGTGAAATACTTGCTATTGGGTACTGAACTGTAAGGCATAACTGTCCATCTGCGATTCAAATGCTTACGATATACGGACATGCTAGACACGAAAGGATTCTATTCCCTTTATACGGCTATCGTATTTCAGATCAATTTGAAATCAAGGTAACTTTGGATGATTTATATAAGATTCCTCCTTGAAGTATCCGTGAAAGCATGTCAGGTTTGTAAAATTTGTGCCTGCATATTAATCGTTAGCTGCGGTTTGCTAACACCACTATTTTATCGTGGAATTACTGTCTACTATCAAATTTGTCAGTAGTATATTTTATATTCTTACTTTCAGTAGAAATGAAATCTGGCGAGAACACCATCTGCGATTCTGAAATTTTCAAACAGCTTAGAAGCGTTTCAATTTTCAAACATTAGACATGAACATGTGTTCAGGAGAGGCGAAGCATTTTTGTGTGCCGGTAAATTTACTGGTATAAAGTATTAGACCCATATATTTCGTCACTTACCGGGAGCGCCAGGTTCTCCTGGAGCCCCAGGGGGACCCATGTCACCATCAGGACCAGGCATGGCATCCACATCCGTGGTTTCACCCTTAGCACCCTGGATCACAAATGTAAAAAATAGGGTAGGAAAATATAATTTTTGCATTCTGTTTGAGTATGAGGTGATCGTACTTAGAGCACAGTTTGCGAAAATCCATCATCCACCTGGAACGGAATACCAGATTTCAGGAAGTGACATGCACGTTCAGCGTCTTTGTAGAATATCATGTTAGTGCAAACATTTACAATACAATTTTATCATCACATCTCGAAGATAAATTGTTGAAATTTGAGAACAATTTAGACTTATTTCTGTGAACAGCTTGCTTCATGTCGAGGAGTGAAAAGAACTTTTAGCAATAATATTTTTCTCAAACGAACATTTTGTATTTCTAGCCCCATTATCCTTCTGCGGCTTTAGTTCGTTAACTCTGTCCTGCAAATGAGTGCAAAGTAAATTTATACCAATTACTTAATGTGACAACATACTTCAAGTTCTTTTGTTGCTTTTTGCTGTTCTCGCTCACCGAAATCTATTAAATTCCGTCATACTAGTCGCAGCAATGACAGTACTCATAAAAATCATGATACCAATAACAATCTTTTTCGTTATCGGACAATCATTTGCACAATCAGTTTGTAGCCAATGAATGTTTTCCTGCCGACACACTTGGAATGGTAATAACGGACTACAGTTGCGAGATTCAACACTGGACTTCTGGTTTGTTGCAGCGATGACCAAAATCACGAGACCCTAACCAATCCAACCAAGTGAGGAAGCTCATTGTTTATTGTTGATTATTTCCTGATTTTCTCTCACCAGTACTTTATTTTTCAGGTGCCTAGATAACGTCGGCTACATTGACCGAAAAGCAAGACGATTGTACATTGGAATTTAGGGTTGTTGTCCATTTTTGTTCAGGCATGGAAGATCAGAAGTTATCATCATTCGCTGGTACTGGATGACCATCAGATAAGCGTAGAATCCGCTTCAATGTCGTGGTCCGAAAGCTACTTCCAATATATCATCTCGTCGAAGAACAATTATTTCTGTATATGGAGAATCTACACTCCTAGAAAGGTGGTTTGTCTTTCGAGAAACAACATGCGACAACAAACAATATACATAAGCTTATCGTTATACTGACCTTTTCACCTTTCGGACCAACTTTTCCCGGTAAGCCTTTATCTCCCTTGGCTCCCGGATATCCTGGTGGCCCTCGAGGTCCAGGGAGTCCATCTTCACCGGGACGACCGGGAACTCCTGGGCTACCTGGGGCACCCGGTTTACCGAATTTTCCCTAGGGATGGGAAGGATCAAAAATAGTTAAATGTACGTCATAACTGTTCCGGATGGCTGTTGGGCATACACATTTTGTATATCACCAGGCATCTTTGGTGCAAAATATTTAGCGATCAGGTAAGTTGCCGAAATGAATAGAGCCAGAACGATGGTAAATATAAACGTTTACCATAGGTTGGGTTTTCGAGACCCATGGATAGAGCCTGATTTATCAGTAAATTCATTCATAAGAATTTTGTT